AAAAGTTCTCGGTTCAACCATCTTGCCTAAATCTGTATACTGACGTTTTGGCCATAGAAATACGGATTTGGGGAAATGTGTCTTCGTATATTGTAAAATAACATTTAAAACAAATGAAACAAAAATGGGTTCTTAGAAATTTTGCCCTTATAACTGTTTGTTTATCTTTTTTTTTTTTTACAGTGAGGTTCACCCTGTACATGGCTCGGGGACCACTCAAGGTAGAGGGTTTCATACTGTGAGGCACTTTGTGCGGATAGGAGAGGAAGATAAGAACAGACTTGAACAGGTTAAGATTGTAGTGATCGGGGAAAAATCTTCTTGGGTGTCGGTTCCACAGAGGAGTGATTCCTGGGAAGATGCTGCTAAAGTGGAATACATAGGAAATGAAGGTGGTTCAGTACAATGTACGTGGAATGGTGGGTCTTAGCTGTGAACTGGTCCAAGAAATGTAGTTCGTTTGAATGCTTTCCATGGAAATAGCAATAAAGCAGTGATTTACTTCCATTCTCGGATTAAAAAGAAAATAAGCAGAATAGGTTTCTAAGGATTACCTGCCTTTATAGAACCAGTTCCTGGAAATTTGGGATGCCATAATTGGGTTACCCCACCTTAAACATGAACAAGTTAAGATTATAGTGATCAGAGAAGCATCCTTTTGGGAGTCGGTTCCATAAAGCAGCCATTTGTGGGAAGAAGCTTCTCAAGGGAAACTTAGATCTCACAAATGGAATACATAGGAAATGAAGGTGGTTCAGTACAATGTACGTGGAATGTTGGGTCTTAGCTGTGAACTGGTCCAACTAAGAAATGTAGTTCATCTGAATGCTTTCCGTGGAAATAGCAATAAAGCAGTGATTTGTTTCCATTCTCGGACTGAAAAGCAAGTAAGCAGAATAGGTTTCTAAGGATTACCTGCCTTTATAGAACCAGTTCCTGGAAATTTGGGGTGCCATTATTGGGCTAACCTACTCTAAACTTGAACAAGTTAAAATTATAGTGATCAGAGAAGCATCCTTTTGGGAGTTGGTTCCATAAAGCAGCCGTTTGTGGGAAGAAGCTTCTCAAGGGAAACTTAGATCTCACAAATGGAATACATAGGAAATGAAGGTGGTTCAGTACAATGTACGTGGAATGTTGGGTCTTAGCTGTGAACTGGTCCAACTAAGAAATGTAGTTCATCTGAATGCTTTCCGTGGAAATAGCAATAAAGCAGTGATTTGTTTCCATTCTCGGACTGAAAAGCAAGTAAGCAGAATAGGTTTCTAAGGATTACCTGCCTTTATAGAACCAGTTCCTGGAAATTTGGGGTGCCATTATTGGGCTAACCTACTCTAAACTTGAACAAGTTAAAATTATAGTGATCAGAGAAGCATCCTTTTGGGAGTTGGTTCCATAAAGCAGCCGTTTGTGGGAAGAAGCTTCTCAAGGGAAACTTAGATCTCACAAATGGAATACATAGGAAATGAAGGTGGTTCAGTACAATGTACGTGGAATGTTGGGTCTTAGCTGTGAACGGGGCCAACTAAGAAATGTAGTTCATCTGAATGCTTTCCGTGGAAATAGCAATAAAGCAGTGATTTACTTCCATTCTCGGATTAAAAAGAAAATAAGCAAAATAGGATTCTAAGGATTACCTGCCTTTATAGAACCAGTTCCTGGAAATTTGGGATGCCATAATTGGGTTACCCCACCTTAAACATGAACAAGTTAAGATTATAGTGATCAGAGAAGCATCCTTTTGGGAGTCGGTTCCAAAATGCATCCATTTGTGGGAAGAAGCTTCTCAAGGGAAACTTAGATCTCACAAATGGAATACATAGGAAATGAAGGTGGTTCAGTACAATGTATGTGGAATGGTGGGTCTTAGCTGTGAACGGGTCCAATTAAGAAATGTAATTCATCTGAATGCTTTCCGTGGAAATAGCAATAAAGCAGTGATTTGTTTCCATTCTCGGATTAAAAAGCAAATAAGCAGAATCCTGTTTGCGGGAAGAAGCTGCTTAAGTGAAACTTAGATCTCCCAAATGGAATAAATAAGGAATGAGGTTGGTTCGATACAATGTGCCCGGGATCCAATAGCCAGACACCAGCACATATGATTTGATTATAGTGGTGAAGGTTTTGTGCAGAACCAGTTACACTTTTTGAAGAGCTGAATACAAAGACCTGGTGCAGCGTGTGACACAATGGAGTAATGGATAGCGGCCCGGATTGAGGCAATCGAAAAGCCGAGTTCGAATTCCAATTACATAACATCCGTTACATTCACTTACGTGCTAATACCCTTGGGAAAGGTATGAAGTTTCTTCTTCTCCTCCCAGTTATGGGTAAATAGCAGTACAGACCGGGTTCTATAGCCTTGGATGACAACAGGTCTACTGCAGAAAGAAAAGGCAACTTTTTTTTTTTCTTCTCCCCATAGCAGGACAGAGGGGTTCTAGGAAAGGATAACTCTGAATTCAAAATGTGATGATAGTCAGTTTGGGACACACACACACACACACACACACACACACACATATATATATATATATATATGTGTGTGTGTGTCTGTGTGTGTGTGTCCTCAAAAAATATATATAGAAAATAGGAAAAGAACTCGTTAGGTAAATAATCCAAAAACTCTTTAGTATTTTTGTTATTATTTTTTTTAAAATAGTGCTCGATACAAAAGTAGAGCATAAATATAATTATTTATCTAAAATATGATTCAACACGCTACATAAAGTTCTCATGTTTCAAAACAAAATTAAAAACTTTCAATATAATTATTTGAATTAAATTGAATTAAAGTACTAAGCTCTGTTCCATTTTCAAGCGAAGTTTTTTTTGGAATAACTTATTTCTGAAATTTACGTGTTTTATAAGCATATTCATTATTAAAATCAAAATTTCTATGGTAACGGCATATATATATATATATATATATATATATATATATATATATATATAAAATACGTAAATTTCAGAAATATTATTCCCAAAAAAATTCGCTTGAAGATGGAACAGAGCTTACTTTAACTCAATTTAATTTAAATAATTATATTGAAGTTTTTATATGAGACTTATGTCGCGATTTGGAATCATATTTTTAAAATAAATAATTATATTTATGCTCTACTTTTGTATCGAGCACTATTTAAAAAAATAAAAAAAATAATAACTAAAATACTAAGCGACTTGGGATTATTTACCTAACCAATTCCTTCCTATTTTCTATATATTTTCATATTACATATATATATATATATATATATATATATATATATATATATATATATATATTATAAATTAATTGATTTAAAATATGTTTTTTTCGCTACACAGTTCCAACTAGCGAAAAAAAAAAATATTTTAAATCAATTAATTTATAATATTAATGCTCTGTAAATTTACATTGAGCACTATTTTGTAAATATATATATATATATATATATATATATATATATATATATATATATATATATACAGAATAGTCCGTTAACTGGTGGAAATAAGGAATATAGTTCGCCTGAGCAATTTCCATGGAAACAGAGAGAGGCTTGAGACGTTACCTCTGTGAGAAAGGCCTTGTAGTGTGGAAAATAATTGACAACTCACAAGGAGCCGGAGATGAGTGAAACTGTTCGAGATGAACTTATTTTTAACCGATGGAATACGAAAGGAATGAGCGTGGTTCGCTACGATGGATGTGGCATGGCGGGTCTTAGCCGTGAAGGCCAGGACTAGCAGAACCAAAGAATGCAGTTCCTTGAGAACTTTCCATGGAAGTAGCAATGTGCCGTATTTTCTTTTGTTGTTCCTTGATTGAAAATAGTTTGAAATGAATGAATCCTATAAAGAAAACGATCCTTCATTCGATCCTACAGGCAGGAGTTACACAGTAACGAGTAAAGTGCTTTACCAAATAAGAAAAAAAAACCCCATCAGTTGAAGACTTCCAACTGCAGCAAGAGCAAAAATGGGTAGCACACGTAATTAGAAGGAAAGCTAATGGTATGATTAATGCGTTAGCTTTTCACATTAACAGAAACAGAAAGGAAGTTTGGTTTGGTTTAGTTTGGTTTGGTTTAGTTTGGTTTGGTTTAGTTTGGTTTGGTTTGGTTTGTTTTGTTTTACGGCACATCAATCTCAATGGGTCATTTAATGCCGACAACATCTTTTTTTCTGGTAATATTTTTGTTTTGTCAAAAATCCATTTCTGTTCATATTTTTTTTCAAAAATGTATCGCTGGTAATATTTTTTCAAAAACGTATAGCTGGTAATAATATTTTTTTCAAAAACGCATAGCTGGTAATATTATTATTATTTCAAAAACGTACAGCTGGCAACATTATTTTTTCAAAAACGTATTATGAGAGGCCTTGCTGTTGGACGTAGTTTATCGTCTTACCCAGGACGCGGATGTAGTTTATTGTCATACCCAGGACTAGATCTGGGTGTGGGGGTTAACTATTTGTCCATAGCTGGGACCCTAACAGGTGCTACCACCCCGTATCAGGGTGGACCTGGGAACATCAGCAATTAAGAGGTGGTTCCATGCTTCTCAAAATCTCCTGATCGGTGGACTTGCTGCTGGATGTAGTTTATCGTCTTACCCAGGACGCGAAAGTAAGTTTGGATGGAAGTTCTTATCAATATTAGAAGGAACATTTATTAGTCTTGAGAAGCCTTATTTCATGCATAACTGTTTAACAATTATTATTATAACTAGAAACTAGATCTACGACAATAAAATATCCGGAGAATTTCCTCAATCATAGATAGCTGAGCTTAACAACTTTAACAAAATATTGCCATAAGAATCGGAAATATGAATGCTGATTGTTATTTAAAGAAGTAAGAGGATACAAATGAAAAAAAAACTGAAGTTGACAACTTTTCCGTTTCACTGAGACAGACGATAGATGTGTTTTTCTTTCTTTCCACTCCTGTCCCTATTTTCATGATGTTCGTGTAGGCTCTTCAAACGACATTAACACTGGCTGCTCGCTCAATGATTGCCGAATGTTTCCTTGTAAGGAAACATTCAGCTGATATTAATGGTACCGTTACCATTCCATTTCTTATAATTCTTTCTTTTTTTTTCCTCCACTCATTCTCTCTTTCTATTTTTCTTACCCCTTTCATTTCTTATTCTTTCTTTCTTTCTTTCTTTCTTTCTTTTTTTCTTCTCATTTCCTATTTTTTTCTTTCTTTCTTCACTCCTTTTCTTTTCTTTCTTTTTTTCTTTCTTTCTTTCTTTCTTTCTTCTCATTTCCTATTTTTTTTCTTTCTTTCTTCACTCCTTTTCTTTTCTTTCTTTTTTTCTTTCTTTCTTTCTTTCTTTCTTTCTTCTCATTTCCTATTTTTTTTCTTTCTTTCTTCACTCCTTTTCTTTTCTTTCTTTCTTTCTTTCTTTCTTTCTTTCTTCTCATTTCCTATTTTTTCTGTCTTTCTTCACTCCTTTTCTTTTCTTTCTTTTTTTCTTTCTTTCTTTCTTTCTTTCTTTCTTTCTTTCTTTCTTTCTTCTTCATTTCCTATTTTTTTTTCTTTTCTTTCTTCCTCCCTCCTTTCTTTCTTTTCTTTTCTTTCTTTCTTTTCTTTCTTTCTTCTCATTTTCTTTTTTTTCTTTCTTCCTCCTTTTCTTTTCTTTTTCTTTTCTTTTCTTTCTTTCTTTCTTTCTTTCTTTTTTTCTTTCTTTCTTTCTTCTCATTTCCTATTTTTTCTTTCTTTCTTCACTCCTTTTCTTTTCTTTCTTTCTTTCTTCTCATTTCCTATTTTTTTTTTCTTTCTTCACTCCTCTTCTTTTCTTTCTTTCTTTCTTTCTTTCTTTCTTTCTTTTGCTGAAACCAAGTAGCATCTCTGATATGTCTTTTCTGTCTTTACACGCGATCAAAACAGAATAGTCAATCATTTATGAGGTATTGGCAGAAGACGTTAAACATTTTTATCTCTCCTTCTTTCTTTCTTTCTTTCTTTCTTTGTAACCGAGTAGTGTCTCTGATATGTCTTTTCCGACTTTCCCTGAGATCAAAACGAAATAGTTAATTATTTATGCGGTATTGACAAGGCGTAATGGTCGAGCTAAGAGAAAGACAAGCAGAATTTTAATAAGATAGTAATAGTACGAGTTTATCAGTAGAATTCAACTGATTCCTTTGACCAGTGAAATATCGTCAGATTTCTGAGAAACTTGGAGTCGGGAGATAAGTCTTCGAATTTTGCAGTTTAATGTATGAATGTGAAATGTTGCCTGTAAGAAAACGGCTAGTCTCTCCATTACCACTGACTTACACTTTTTCCAAACGTAATTTTTGTGTGAGCAGATCTTAAAACGCAAAGACAAACGAAGTGAAACAATCGATTAAATTTGACCCACATATATCACCTGTCTACAACCAATTACTCACTGCTAGCGACAAATCAACACAGACAGGGAGAAAAAAATTGAAGAAACGCCTGATTGAGAGTGTTTAAGTCAAAAACGAAGAAAAATGAACTTCGGATATTAAATTACACGCTTGAAAGACAATTGAAAGTCTATTTCCGGCCTCACAGAGACATTGTTTATTTATTACTTGTCAAACATTATTTTTATTATTCCAACCCAAGCCAGACGACAATGTCACTAAAATGCATGGGTGTTACGAGGAGTGAAAGAAAATGAGAAGACTTTAGTTAGTAGAAGTGACAATAAAGGAACATGATTCAGGAAGACAAGATGGCGATTGAGGTCGCATTATAAATTTTTGAAGATTATAGGTGGCAGAGAAGCAATAAACCGCGAGTTCCACAGGTTAGAAGTGTGAGAGAAGAAACTATTAAAACGTCTTGACAGAGGACGGGTAAGTGCGACACTGAGATCCGTAGACGTATTGGGATGGCTAAGGACACATTCCAAAAGTTGGGCAGAGTATTGCTAGACAGGAGGATATCTTTGGTAACAAAGAAACGAATATTGAACTGTTATGTGACATCTGTCCTTCTTTACGGCAGCGAATGTCAGACAAAGATGAATAAGAGACTTGAGGCGGCAGAGATTTGGTTCTACAGAAGGATGGTAAGGATATCGAGCGTGTGGGCAACGGATTAGGTCTTAGAGAGGTTGAAGCTTATAATTAATATCAGGAAGAGACAGCTGAAGTTTCTAGGACATATAATGAGGAAGGAGGGCCTGGAGAATCTAATACCCTCGGGTCGAATAGAGGAAAAGAGAGACAAGGGAAAACAACGCGTGACATACGGAGAGGTTAAAGGTCGACTTTAGAAGGGACGGGAAACCCAATCCTAAATACGAAACAAGGGATAAACCACTAGTCCTTTTCAAAAGACCGAGGGGGGGAGGAAATTTCTGAAGTTTCTAGGACACATAGTGTAGAAGGAGGGCCTGGAGAATCTGATACTCACGGGTCGAATAGAGGGAAAGAGAGACAAGGGAAAACAACGCGTGATATACCGGGCGGGCTTAAGCAAGTGGATGTCAGAACGTGGTCTGGGGGAGGAAGCAGAGGGAAGGAACTTGTTGAGAGCTGCAAGGGATAGAAGGAGGTGGAGAGCCATGATCGCCTACATCCTGAAAGGACATGGCACATAAAAAGAAAGGAGTTCAGCTGTAAAACGGTGAGACAGAGTTACCAATGTTGTGGCACGCCTAAAGTCATGCCGTCGAGGCACAGAGGAAAAAAAAGCCAGTACATTTGCCATGAAAATATTTGAAGAAAAGACAGAGGAAAGCCACTTCACGTCGATGGGAAAGATGTCTGGTCACTACTGATTACATTAAAGACCCATTTTTGAATTTTGTCAAGAATTTCGAGATATATAATATTAGCACCCGACCAAATAGGGCAGCAGAATTCAATGCACGGATGAATTATAAATGTACAAGAAGTGATTCTGATGAGAAAATTGTCTGGTACGACAGTGAACCAATTTTCCTAGCAGTAGACCTAGAAATTGATTCAATATAATCACGCCACTTCATGAATAGATAAGAAAATATACGAATAGGTAGCACTAAGAAGAACAGCTCATCAGAACAATTGCTATAAAAATATTTGTCAAAGACAGAGGGAAACCACATCACGTCTGCGGGAAAGTGACTGAAGTTGAGATACCAAGCCAGGATCATTTACATTACAGACTCTTTTTTGGATTTTGTCAAGAATCTCGAGATATACCGTAGGAGAACCAGACCAGATATGGCAGCAGTATTCAATATACTGATGGTTTATAAATGTGCAAGAAGGATTCTGAGAAGAAGCATTTTCTGGCACAACACAGTGAAGCAACTTCCCTAGCTATTTTTATTTCACAATTCTTGCTCTTTCAATACTGTGTCCCTTTAGGCCGTGGACGAGCATGGCTCTCCACAGCTTCCTATCCTTTGTAACTATATCTGCTTTCTTGCTGTGCCTCCCACCCACTATTCTACTATCCATTTTTACAAGCTTGTTACGTCGGTGATTCGATGTTTTCCTTTGCCCCTCTTGTCTTCAGTAGGTCCCGTGAGTGTCCAATTCTGGAATACATAATGAGGAAAGAGGGACTGGAGAATCTGACACTCACAAGACGTATTGAAGTTAAAAGGGACGTGTGGAAACATCGAATAATTTATCGAACGAGCTTGAAATGCTTGGCTGAAAAGTGACACAGACATTATTTTTCAACTGCTTCTTTTTGATTTAACGTATTTCAGCTTTTTTTTGAAGTCTTGCTAGTTGCTCGCATACTTACGTCCATGTTATTCTCGGTATTTTTTCTGTAGAACCGGGTGTCTGTTTCCACAAGCCTCTTCTTCATCAGTAAGGAAGTTGTTCAGTATTCACTGCTACATTGGTCACGGAAAGTACTCTGCAGGAGCACCTACTAAAGGTAGTAAAGGATAGCGAGAAGAAAGAACTATCAACACATAGAATACAGAATACATGGTCATTAGCAAAATGGTCAGTACAAGATGCGATCTGCTTATTGGAGACGTCAGAATTAAACAAGTACAGAAATTTATGGAATGATTGATTCATTCATTTTCTATGATTTTCAAACGCTTTACAGGTTATTTAAAGCCAGAAAAATTATTAAATTTTCTCTGGGGACGATATAAATGATTTAGTGATACAAGCCTTACTCATTAACCCATAGCTGGGGGAGAAGAGGAGGATTCATACCTTTCCCAGTGGTATTTGATCGTAAGTGAATATAACGAACCCATCTGTAATTTGAACCCGGCACTCCGATTTACAGTTCCGAACCATTATCCATTACACAACTGCATATCCAAGCTTACAGCATGTGGTATACCTAAGCGGTCGCTCATATAAATACTGACCAGATTTGACGTTGCTTAACGTCAGTAATTGTAAGGGAACCGGTGTTTCAACGTGTTGTAGCCATAAGCCCCCCACAGAAATGTAATTACCAGGGACGTGTTATAACAAGCGACAGAAAATGTGGCACCGAAATCCGAAGGCGTATTGGAATAGGGAAAGGTGTATTCCAAAAGCTAAGTAAAGTATTAAGAGACGGGAAAATGTCATTAGAAGCAATGAAAGAACCGTTGAACTGATATGTAATATCAACCTTTATTTTCCAATACATTCTAAAATTACAAAATATACGCGACTTGATGATTTAGTTTAAACAAATCCATGCATTGGATTTAATACTAACTTCTTCTCCTCTTCCTCCTCCTCCTTCTTCTTCACCTCCTCTTCTTTCTTCTTCTTCTTTCTTCTTCTTCTTCCTCCTTCTTTTTCATCTCCTCTTCCTATTCTTCTTCCCCTCCCCTCGTCCCCCTCCTTCTTTCTCCTCCTCTTCTTTCTCCTTATTCTTCTTCTCCTTCTTCTTCTTCCCCTCCCCTCCCTCTACTTCTTCTTCTTCTCATCCTCCTCCTTTTTCTTTTCCTCCTCTTTCTCCTTATTCTCCTTCTCTTCTTCTTCTTCCCTCATTCTCCTTCTTCTCATCCTACTCCTCATTCTTCTTCTCTTCCTCTTTCTCTTTATTCTCCTCTTCCTTCTTCTTACTCCTCCTTCTTCTCCTCCTCTTCTTTCTCCTTATTCTTCTTCTCCTCTTCCTTCTTCTTCTTCCCCTCCCCTCCTTCTTCTTCTCCTCCTCTTGCTTCTTCTTCTTCCCCTCCCCTCCTTCTTCTTCTCCTCCTCTTCCTTCTTCTTCTTCCCCTCCCCTCCTTCTTCTTCTTCTCATCCTCCTCCTTCTTCTTCTTTTCCTCCTCTTTCTCCTTATTCTTCTTCTCTTCCTTCTTCTTCCCTCCTCCTCCTCCTCCTTATTCTTCTTCTTCCTCCTCCTTCTTCTTCTCCTCCTCCTCCTCCTCCTTCTTCTTCTTCTTCTTCTTCTTCTTCTTCTTCTTCTTCTTCCACAAGAGCCAGATCCGAAAATAGTGTATTGTTTCCTTCTCTTTCTCGTTTCGATTGTGTCCAAAAGCGTCTCCGCGTCCTTGTGGGTGATGAATTATTTTCCTCCCTACAACCCCCCCTTTTCTCACAGACGAAACACCGCAAGCCTCGCGCTGCTCTATCGCTATTTCCATGGAGAGTGTTCAGACAAACTACATTCCTTAGTTTCAACAGTTCTAACCTTCACGGCTATGACCCTCAATACCACGCCCATTGTAACGAACCACCCTCATTCCCTCCGTATTCCATTAGTGACATGTAAGTTCCACTCGAGTAGCGTCTTCCCACGAACAGCGGCTTTGTGGAACTGACTCCCAAGAGGGGAATTGTTTTCGGTTTGAACCTGTCAGCAAAATCTTTCAGTACGCCCTACAAGAAAAAATCTGGTGGAATAATTGGATTTTTTTTATCAAACTTTTTCAATGACATAATATATATATATATAATT